CTCGAGAGGTCAGGAGGGTGGCAACATGAGAATGGGCCTTCTCTGCAGGCTCCCTGTCTGTGGAATGCTCTCCCCAGGGAAGTTCGCCTGGTGCCTTCACTTTACACCTTTAGGCACCTGGCAAAACATTCCATTTTAACCAGGCCTTTGCCTGACTTGATCTACATCCTATACCCTTTTTAAAATGCTGGCTCTTTTTTTTGGGGGGGGGGAGGTTATTGGGTTGTTGTTGTTGTTTTGATTTTTATGTATTTGATATTTTATGTGAACTGCCCTGAGACCTTCAGGTATAGGGCAGTACAGAAATAACATACATACATACATACATGCATACATACTTTTGCTCCTCTCTCTTGTATCTGCCCAAATGCATTATCATGTTCCTCATTTATTCCATTATCCCAGACTATTTATTTTTCCTTTCCATGTTTTTCTACCCCTCATTTCCTTGACTTTGTTCAACTGAAGCTTAACCCAGATAAGGCCGAGGAAGTGTTAGTTGGTACCGGATAGATGGGATTAATCTGCCCTGGATGGGATTATGATCCCTCTGAAAGAGCAGGTATGTACATAGCTTGGGAAAACATCTGGCTCCTGTGCTATCACGTGAGGTTCAAGTGGTTTCAGTGGGACTGAATATATAAGATATAACACCAATTATGGTATGACTGCACTGGCTACAAATTATGTTTCTGGCCTCAATTTAAAGTGCCAGTTTTGACCTGAAATCCCTTAAGTTGCTCAGGACCCCAGTATCTCAAGGACTGCCTCTTCCCATGTGAACAAACCCAGATCCTTAAATTGTCATCTGAAGTGTTTTCTTTGTGTCCCTTCCTCAGGAGGGCAGGAGGATGGCCACATGAGAACAGACCTTTTCAGTGTTGGCTCCCCACTTGTGGAATGCTCTCCCTGGTGCCATCTTTATTTCTTAGGCGCCAAGCAAAAGCTTTCCTTTTTACTTAATTTGAAGGGTTTCATACATTTGTTGCCTCTTTTAGTGTGGTGGGATATGTATGACCTGTCATCTGCACAGATGCGCTTTTTAGGCATTTACTGGTTGTGTGTGTGTTATAACTGGTTTTAATGTTTATACTATTTTTGTAAGCCACTTTGCATCACTTTTGTGAGGAAAAGCAACTAAAAAATTAATGATAACGTCCCTGTGACTCTTGTGCAAAGAAAAACAGAGTGGTGGTAAATAAATGTTAATACATACCGGTTTTAAAACTGTCAACTGCCATTGGCATGCAAAATCTAGGCTTGATGGATAGAAAGTTGGAATGTTAGCATAGAGGTTGTGCTGAGGCAAAGCCTGCAGCAACAAATCCACAAATACCATAGCCAACTGTCACCCTGTCCACCCACATTCATTTGGTTTAAAATCTTTGGTTAAGCAGTAAGCTGTGTTTGTCTGCAGCTGTCCCATACGTACAGGGATCAAACTGGCTACCTTGGTATTTTCAGCACCATGTTCTAACCAATGGAGCTATCCAGGCAACATTATTAGTTATAGTGTGGCATGCTGCTGCCTCTTTTGTATTCTATGCAGTTTTGTTGTTTTAAGCAAGTGATACAATCTTCTATTCGCACAACTTTCATTTCAAACATGACTCCAGTTTGCAGGCTTGTTGCTGTGGGAAATGTGTCTGCAAAAGCCCTGCAGATTGCTGACAAATAGCATACTTGGGAGAGTGTGGATTTGAGAGCACAGAGCCAGTAGTGGATGTCGAATGTGTATATAGATGTGCCCACTTAATCAGACCCTTTAAAAAAAAACAAAAATGGACTGGTTCACACATATATGTGCCTCACTTGGTTTTCAGTATTCCACTGAAGAGGATTCTGCTTGAAGTAATGAAACTTCCGCCTCAGTCATATTTGCAAGTTATTACATGAGCTGCAGCTCAACAGTCTAGTTGAGTTGAGTTTAATATTTATTTATATGTAGCAAAATGAGAGCAGTTTAGAAGAAATAGAATTCAAATCAAATAATAACAAAACAGCAGGTGTGTGTGTGTAAACTGGCTCAAAGCTTATTTAAGCATTGTAAGATGGAATTTGACTTTTCCATAGCAACTCTTAAATTCCCTCTGCACACTGTCTCACTATAGTATGGGGGCGGGGGTTATGTTAAAACAAGCTATGAATTAAGTTTAAAGCAGTTCATTTTCCTTGTGGCTATGTAAACTGTGAGACCCCAACATAAGAACTTAAGTCCCACTGGACCACACCAAAGCCCTGCCTAGTGCAGTATCCTGTTATCTACAGTAGCAAAGCAGATCCTTATGGGAAGCCTGGCCCACAAAAGCAGGACATGAGCACAGTGGCCCTATCCTGCTGCTCATGCTGCGTCTGATCCTGAAAGTGATTATAATTAGCTGGTTCACACAAAACACTAAACCAAACCAGTTTATTCCCAGAAAGGAGATAACACCCGCTATGGTTCTCCCCCGATCATCCTTCTGCTTTGCTGCTGTAAGCCAAGGCATGCTTTGGCTTAGCATGTTGTCCAACTTGGTCTTATAGTTAGCCTCCATGACAAATCATGAGCTATAAACCGAAGATCAAACCTTGGTTATAGCTTTTGTTTTTGTCTGGAGCAAGAAGCACCATGAATCCAGCTAGGATGACATTCTAAGTTGAATCATGGTTTTGCTCACAGTAGTGCAGCAGCAGCAGCAGCACCCAAGGAAAACTAAATCAGCCACAATGTTCCTTTAAGACATAGCTTGGCTTATTGCAGGCATGGCCAAACTTGACCCTCCAGCTGTTTTGGGACTACAGTTCCCATCATCCCTGATCACTGGTCATGTTAGCTAGGGGTGATGGGAGTTGTAGTCCCAAAACAGCTGGAGGGCCAAGTTTGGCCATGCCTGGCTTAGTGTAAAGTGAGACCCCCGGCTGAAACAGTTTAGAAAAACATTTATAGGATTGTTGTGGAAAACATGAAATATTAGATTTGTGTCAGATATTGGAAGTATTGGACAATGGAAGTAATAGTAATTGTAGGAAACTATATGTAATAATTTCATTCATATTTTTAAAACTTCTAGCACTAGTTTGCTATTCTTAGAATTACTTAATTCTAAATAGGTTTGCCAGGGTAGTTATAAAGTGGAATGAGCAACTTTTAAAGGATCTGGTGATAGAAAAATGAAATAAAGTAACTGCAGTCACAGGAACGTGTGTGTGTGTGTGTGTGTGTGTGTGTGTGTGTATGAATGTGTGTGTTAGGAAAAGAAATTTGCTGTCACTTAATATGAGAAAATTGAGTTTTGATTCTTACAATTGAGACTACAAGTGAGCCATTAAGTGCACTATTTATTTCTTAAATCGAGTGACTCTCCCTCCATCACATGGTTAAAACACAAGTTTGTCCATCATGTGATCCCAGTTGCTTCTCTTAAAATAGATCACAATAGTTCATCTGGCATCTGAGTAGCTTCATCTGTGAAAATTGGGCTATTAAAAGACATGTTTAAATGATCTGAGAGTTAAAATAAACTGTTTAGACTGTGTCTAATAGCAGAATCTTTGTCATGAGCGCTAGTAGGATATCTTGGACACATTCCGAGTTCCAGGATTTGATCTGTAGGAGTCTTCCAGATGTACATATTTTGCTCTTGGAGTAAGACTTTATTCAAAGTTCATTAGCTATTCTCTCAACAAATATTGTCTAGGAGTAGACATGCGTAAAGCTTTGTGCTAATCCATATGCATGTGATTAGCTGGATTTAAAAAAACAACAAATAAAGCAGTATTCCACTTAGTTGTTGCAAGATCTAAACTGTCTTTTGGAGGGCCAGATCATATTTCTTTAGTATATTCCTCAGAATTGTTCTTCCTTCCTTCCAGTGGAGTAGTGTGTCTGAATTAGCCCACTTGTGTAACTTTCCAAGATAAGGGTGGCTCTCATGATGGACTTTAGTTTTGTCTCTGCAGATATTGTGCCCACAGCTGCTGTGTTGGGAAACATGGGCTAAAGCTTTTGTGGATTTAGGAAAACCAATTGAGGGAGCATAATAGAAGTTTATAAAATAATGTTGTGATGTGGAGAAGATGAATAGAAAGAATCCCCTCACCCCCACCCCCAAAAAATCCTGAATGGTTTGGTACTAGATTCAGGACAGACAAGGTGTTTCTTTATACAGTGCAGCTATTTGTGGCGTTGCACATGTGTCCTATGGGGGGGGTATGTCAGCACAGGCATGGAAATCTGACACTTAAGACAAAGAACCACAACCCTATATTCCACTCAAAACAAACAAATTGTCCTTACCAACCAAAGTGCACATTTAGTGTTCAAATATGTACATTCAAGGCACAATCCAAGATCCCACTAACTACCTTTTTTGCTTTTTGGAGCAACAGGGCCACCGCTACATCCGCAGCCCTGCTGCTCATAGTGGTAGAAGTGGAGAGGGCAGGATGATAGAGCCTAATGGTGGCAGCGCTATGCCCACACCAGCTCCATGCTGGAGCACCAGCCAGCCAGATGCCATCATGTAACAGCAGTGAGACCGGCTCAGGATATACTCAATCCAGGATTGGCTCAGCCATTCCACAGCCCTCAGAATATCCCATTTCAGGACTTTCTAATGGCTCCCACCAGCATGTTTGGTAGGCAGAAGGGAGAGTCTGGCTTCTGGCACAGATAAGCCTCCGCTCAATCAGTCCCCCAGCCCGATTTAAGGGAAGCTTTCATTGCTCAGCCTCTTCTCATCTCATTATAAACTGCTTTGCCCAGTAGCTACCACCCTTGCTTCTTGAAAATTCTGGGTATTTTGCCTAGAAATAAATGATCTTTCTCTGTGTTCTTCAGGTGTACTCCATCCTTTTTTCTTTTTCTTTTTTTTAGGGTCTGTAATTAGCTTCCCATATTGGTTTCAGGCTTCCTTTAGGTGATTATATTTCAAGTAAGCAATATAGGGTACTATTCACTGAAATAGTAATACCAACATCAGTACTTAAATATAAAAAATATACTCTCCTAAGTAGTATAAAGGTTTTAGTTCTTTTAATTGTTACACAAGGAAATTAATCAGCATTTTAATACAGGAAGTATATGTAGTGGGAAACTTTAGTTATTTCCCCATCACACAGTGCTTTAAAATGCTTTCACGTTCAATGGATTGCATCAGATGGTCTGAAGGTACTAACATCTACTCCTTTTCTTCCAGTGGCAACAGATGTCTTCAATTCCAAAGGTTTGGCCATCCAGGCCCAGAAGAAAATCCTTGGCAAAATGGCATCTAAATCCATAGCAAATGCTTTGATAGATGACACTAGCAGTGATGTGTTGGATGAACTTTACAGAGTGACAAGGCAATACACACAAAGCAAAAAGGAAGCGGAGAAGATCATTAAAAATCTCATTAAGACTGTAATCAAGTTAGCAATCCTCTACCGGAATAACCAGTTTAATGAAGAAGAGATCATCCTTATGGAGAAATTCAAGAAGAAAGTTCACCAGTTGGCCAAAACTGTGGTGAGCTTCCATCAAGTGGATTATACCTTTGACAGAAAGTTTTTGTCAAAACTCTTGAATGAATGCAGAGACCTGCTTCATGAAATCATTCAGCGTCACCTAACTGCGAAATCTCATGGACGAGTCAACCACATGTTTGATCACTTCTCAGATTGTGAATTTTTGGCTGCCTTGTACAATCCATTTGGATCTTACAAGTCTCACCTTCAGAGACTCTGTGATGGTGTCAACAAAATGTTAGATGAAGGGAATATATAAGTTACTGCATCGGTGGTGTATATTCATAGGCTGAGGACTACTGATGGTCTGGATTCAATGAAGGAGGGCTAGAAAAACTGTGTGTGGTAATGGCAAAATTGAATACCAAAACAAATGCTAAATATTTAGAAATTTCTTCATCAAATTGACCCATTTATTTGGAGTCATCTATTGCTATTCTTTCTTTTTGCAGTACTTTGCTTTAAAACGTGGAGCAATAAAGCCATGAAACGGGATTACTCGTGAAACAGAGCTTTTGTAAAATAGACAGGAAAAGTGTACAGCAAGATAATCAGAATCAAAATGCATATTTCTACATGTAGAAGAGTATTTATAATCCTACAAAGGATCAATATTTTTTTATATACACAAATCATGACTATGGCACATATATGATAACTGGAGTTAGATTTAATAGAACCTATGCTACTTAATCTAGATCCATATATGCTATACATAAATGCTTAGGTCACATGGTCTTAGTTATACTGTTAAAATAGTTCTGCTTCGTAGGGCTGGTTCTCATATAAGACAGTAGAGACCACACAATTGCCTTTGAAATGTGCAGGGCTGCCGCCAGATGCATCTGGAAATACTTCATCGGCATAAACTGACATCTGTACATGGTAGTCCCTGTTCCCATAACGATAGTAGTAGTTCATCAAGCTGTTGTCCTGTGGTTACTGCATCTGCATATGCTTCACATGTTTTGGCATGGTTTCACATAACATACTTCCATGGAAGACCAGTACATCCCACCTCTAAACCTCGTGGCATGTACTCTCGAGGGAATTCACAAAGGCTGTTTCCATATGACCCTACCCTTAATCATATCATTTAAGGCTTTGGATTGTTAATCTATAGTACCATAATTTTGTGTGCTTTATCAGCTGAATGGTCTGGATTTGATTGATGTATTGCTATTCTTAGTTGGCTACAGTAATAAAGTGTGGCCAGGAAAACTATACATTAGTAGTGTGTGGTTAAATGAAGCACCCATACACATTTTGCCATTCTGCTAACAATACCCTCACACAAACCAAAAATTAGCTTAATCCAAAATTACTGTCATCGCTAAGGGGCTTGCTTTTAAATAGAAATTGTCCTAAATACTCCAATCCCACAGTGAGCACATGGAGTTCAGTCTGCAAATGCCTTTTCTCATTTCTGTAGAAGAAGGTAGTTCCAGATCAAGTTCCTCAATAAAATGACGCACCCTGCATGCACAAGTCAACATTTTGTGTATGTGAGCACATGAGAATCTATAGCGTGGGGTAACAAAATACAGTAACTATTTTTTATATATATAAAAATGGATGGTATTGTGAATCTGCAAACCATAAGTACCAGCACCAAATTCTGAACGATATTGTGTACATAGCCTCTGAAACAGAAGTCACTGTGTAGAACCTAGAATAAATGTATAGCAAATATGGTGAAATGCATCTTATAACTGGAGCAGCTTGTATAAGATTTCTTTAAAAAACAATATTGAAGTGAAAATAGGACTATCCAAAGGAATTTGCTGAAAATGTAATGTTTTTTGTATGTCACACAAGTCTTTGCTGATTGCCAAGTTTTAAAAAGAATTGTTACCAAAAGAATATATTCATTATAAATGCTGTGCCTGATTTTCTATGGCATAACGAATCAAAAAATGGATATGCACTACTTAATTAAATCCAAGCCATGTTTTGTTACTTCTTGACAAGTCTCTAGTACATGCCATTTCTATTATGGGTAGTTGCTTTGCCTAAGGTATTGCAAAATATATGTTTTATTGCTGCGGGAAGAAACTTGATTTCCCTTAAGTTTTACCACTCATTAGCAGAGTTTGAGATCATTCTATTAAGACATATTTAGCTGCCCTTAACACCACTACATTTAGACTGAGATGGGTATAATTCAAAGCATGGAGAATGCCTAAGAAAATATATATAGTGGTACCTCTGGATGCGAACGGGATCCGTTCCGGAGGCCCGTTCACATCCTGAAGCGAATGCAACCCACGTCTGCGTGTGCGCAGCTAACGATTTGCCGCTTCCGCATGCGCGTGACGTCGTTTTGAGCGTCTGCGCATGCGGCAAAACCCAGAAATACCGCATTCCGTTACTTCCATGTCGCCACGGAGCACAACCCAAAAACGCTCAACCTGAAGCGTATTCAACCCAAGGTATGACTGTACTAGAAATCTGAGTGCTATCAAACCCTGGATAATGTATAATACTTCTGTTATATAGGTGGCACATAATATTCTAAGGCTGCAATCCTGTACATACCTTAACTGGGGGTGACCCATTTAACTCAGTGGGACTTATTTTTGAGCAAACATGTTTCTGAATGTGTTATAATTGCATTTTAGCTGGCAAAATGTCATATTGCAATATCAGAAGTGGTACAGAGTGGCTATACAAAGCATCATCTAGTGGAAAAAGAAATCTATGGAATAAATTACTGAACATTTCTACATTTGTCTACCTATTGCTCTTGATTATTTATGTACACCAACTATTTCTAAGGCTGTTTTCTCCCCTTCTTGCAAGAAGATAATGAATCAGTGTCCTATAACATTCATCACTTTTTAATTTTTTTATTACTGTAATCATTACATGATAGGCACAAGGGGTATGCACGCACATAGAAAGATGGAAGCATAAGTGTTTTCTCCCATAGCAGAAAAACTGCCCACCACACTGGCTTTTATCATCCCTCCTTAATAAAAGAAGCAGCCTCAGGAAGTGTATGTTGAACATAGGACAACTAGCTAATGGACATGAATTAACAGCAAACTGTATGGCAGTTGGTACCTCTGTTTCAGCTGATGTGAAATAAATCTCATTGGCCAATAAAATGGTGGCCAAAGCAATCAAAAGTGCAAAAAAAGAGAGATGACAGTTGCTGTAGAGCTCCTCAAAGAAATAACAAAATAAAACTCATCTGTAAAGTGGCAGGCTGCCTTCAAAAATTGCTGAATTAAAGCATAAAATTAATAATTAAAATGCACTACTATGGTACCATTGGATATGGGGATGAAAAAGTGTTTTAAATATGCACTCATGGAATTTTCTATTAAAACTGGATGGTCAGGGAAATTGTGGGTTCTATAGGAATGTGAGGGTGAAGAACGGGGACAGTATAGGATTCCAGACTGGAGGGTTGGGCTCCTGAACTATTTAACTACCTGCATTAGATATACCGTATTTTTCGCCCTATAGCACGCACTGGCCCATAGGATGCACCTAGTTTTTTTGGGGGGAAATAAAGGGGGAAAAATTATTTTCCCCCCCAGCCGCGGATGTCTGCCCGAAGCGCAGGACGCTCTGCTTCAGCGCGCCCCGCACTCCGTGCAGCAGGCTGCTATCCGCAGCCTAGGGAGCCCTGCGGGAACTCCCACGGGCTCCCCAGGCTTGCTGATAGCTTCCTGAAGCCTGGAGAGCGAGAGGGGTCAGTGTGCACCGACCCCTCTCGCTCTCCACGCTTCAGCGAAAGCCTGCATTCGCCCCATAGGACGCACACAAATTTCCCCTTCATTTTTGGAGGGGAAAAAGTGCGTCCTATAGGGCGAAAAATACGGTAGATGGCACTCATCACAGTTTAGCCCCCAAACCAAGGGCAAACTCATTCTCCAGAGACACAAATAAAACTCTTGCAAATTTTTCAGTGAAAGGCAAACTGATGAAAGCTATCGGGACTAATAGTGAAAATAAATTTGAAAGGAAACCAATAGTAAAGCTTCAACATCTGAGTGATGAAACAGATGCTGAATGGCTCTTAGTTCAACCACAGGAAGGTTCCAAGTGACTAAAATACTGTAAACTATTGCTGAGCTTCCAGTTCTGTCTGGTTCACATTGATAGAATGCCTCACTTTGCTACCACCAAAAAGCCACTCACAAATGAGAGCCAGTGTGGTGTAGTGGTTAAGAGCAGTAGTCTCGTAATCTGGGGAACCGGGTTCGCATCTCCGCTCCTCCACATGCAGCTGCTGGGTGACCTTGGGCCAGTCACACTTCTTTGAAGTCTCTCAGCCCCACTCACCTCACAGAGTGTTTGTTGTGGGGAAGGAAGGGAAAGGAGATTGTTAGCTGCTTTGAGGCTCCTGAAGGGGAGTGAAAGGCGGAATATCAAATCCAAATCCTGATACTGCTGAATATAAACATTTATAGAAATAAAGGTGAGCTAGAGGAAGCAGTGGCTGTAAAATGGAAGACAATACCATCTAAGGAAGTGGCTATCAAGCAAGATGTGGATGTTCCAAGATCAATGCGCCAATGAGATCTGGTTCAGTCTCCACCTAAAAAACATTACTGTTAAAAACCACAGGGGCTATGATATCTTGTCAATGGAAAGAGCATTGCTTGATTTATGATTCTTACCAGGTCATTACATGGATGGCCATCTTGAGCAATAACATAAATAACATAGTATATAAAATGGAGATGGGAAGAGGGGGGAAAAGTGAGGGATAAATAAGGGAAATATGGAAATGAAAACAGGAAAACGAAACAATTTGGAATAATGTTGAGTTACTGGAAGAGGGGAGGGAAAAGAAATACACCAACACTTGCTAGGCACAAAACACTACGCTCATGGCAAATTTTAAAATGGAGTATCCCTTATTGCTAAGTGCTATTGACTGGAATAAGCTCAAAATGGAGGAGAAGCCAGTATCATTTTCTGTTAGTGTCAGCAAGAACACAGTAATTCCCCCCCCCCCCCGTTTCTTCTGTTTGCTTTTTTCATCACTAGTATAGATTTGGTGTTCCCTCACAAGATCTGAATAGAAACCATGTATTGATTACTGCATTATCTTTTGCCACAGGGAAAAAAATTGTCCTTAAATTCTACATTCAGTGTAAGTTATTTCTCCCTGTGTGTCCCCACATGAGCACTTTAATACTTTTATCTTTAGGTCTTCTGAATTTCAATTGAAAAACTGAGAATAACAACTGAACTCATTAGAATAAAGAATAATTTTTAGCCATATGTTCAGCAGCCTGATTCCACTTCATTTCACATATGTACTCAACTACTTCCATCAGTTACATATTAAAAGATGAGGCTTTTCTACAGGTCAGACCCAATGGATCCAACTAGTGGAGAACTAAACTGCTGTCAATATTTATCTGAGCAACTGTCAATATTTATCTGGAATTGTCATATTCTGTCTGAATATGGAAACTCCATCTCTGAATAGCAACTACAAATACAGCTCAGTGACTTCATCCAATGTTCTCTCCTCTCACCAATAATTATGGTAGTAGTTTTAACATACTGAATAAATTCTACAGATTAATTTGCTCAATGACCAAATGATCCACATTTGTCCCCCTATGGCTGTAAATTTCTACCATTTTTAAGTTAAGCTGCAGTCCTGAGAGTAAGCCCCACTGAATTTTATGCAGTTTACATCTGAGTAGATATACATAGAAGTAGATTGCTAAGAGTTCTCTATAATTCAGACTACTGCATTGTATCTCTAATGGTAGCAAGCCATATATAGCACTTGTTGTAACAATTGTTTGTTACATTATTTGTGGCCAACCTAACTAGTGAAACCAGTACATTAGCACAATGAGACACTGGTGCCTTGGGCACAACCTAACTAGTGGAACCAGTGGCTTGCCAGACCTGGTGCCTTAGGCAATGCAAAGCTTGGTTCTTGCAAGAAAACAAGGGAGCAGACCTCTCCTATGAAAGTGGAAAGTTAAGTGCTTCTCAAATGTTTACCTTTGCCAATTTGTTCTTTAGAACTTCCCACTGTGTGTTGCACAATATGCAGTTGCTTGCCATCAAATCCAGGAAGCAGCTTTTCAGATACCACTGCTGACAGATGATCAACTGCATGTATCTGAAAAGAGGTTGACTTCACTGCTTTTGAAGCAAAGAAGCAAAGGAAATAACATGTTTATAGTTAATCTATAGGGACACTACTGAATTAGTGATACACCACAGTTGCTACAGACACTACTTCCAGTGCAGGCATTTCAGAAAATATATTGCAAACTGGGGGAACATAAAAATAGCTGTTAAAACAAAGGGAGGAACTTTCCCTCCTTATGCAAGGTATTTCAGACAGGAAACTGAATTTAGGATAAGTATAGCTCCTTCATCAAGATACACTTTTCAGTTTGTTATCAGTAGTGGTAACTTGTCTTTTACCTGGCAGAAGATGCCTTTTTTGTGCAACCCAATGTATAAGAGTATGCCATTGCTCTGCATTAAAAGACAACTTGTACAGGTACAAGCTTTGATTTATTCATGGGGGACATTAGCGTTGAGGCATGAAACCTAAAAGGGTTTCAGAATTCAATGAAAATTTTGTCTCTTTTTTCCAGGTGCATGTGCTAAAATCAAAGATGTGGGGAAATAAAGATTGCTTCTCTGGGATGAAAAACACTGAAGCAAGCATGATAATTGTCTGAAGTTAGCACATACAACACAGTAGTCAAAGGTCTCTAGTGTGTAGGTAGCTTCCAAAATCATTTTTTATGTTGTAGCTTGAGTCGGGGGGCAGGCGGGAAAGGCGTATCTCAGAGCATATGCAATGTTTTCCTCACTCCAAAGTAACCAAACACAGCTAATGGAAGCCTGTTCTACTAGCCATGATTTTGCATGCATGAGTTCTGTCACTCTCCTTTATACAAATGAGGGGTGTGGATACAATTACTACATCTCTTCCTAAATTAGGCTCTGGTGCCTAGTGGAGAAAAGTGCTCTTCAGGCATTTGGAAGAATCTGTGTGGGTTTAAAGTCCTATCCAAATATCACCTGTATACTGGGTTCTTTGCTGACCTTCACATATTCTGTGCAATGGTTCAAAGGGGAATTATAACAGTGTTGAATGTGATCCTAATACTCAAAGGGGAATTATAACAGTGTTGAATGTGATCCTAATACTCTCTGCAACTGGGAACCCTGCACAATCTGGGTTCCAGTTCAAATCTTCTTGCATACCTTTATGCTGAATGAAAAATGGCAGGAGGAGGAGTTGGGAATGTTGGGGTGGGGCTAGAATACACATCCCTGCACCCCTGCATAGTTTGAACCCTCGTACATTATTATGAAAGACTGAAGATGCTAAGCAGTTGCAGCATTGGTTGGCACTCGTCACACTGAAATGGTGGGCTGCATAAAGCCATTGAAACAATTGCTACTGAGTGCCTTTGGTGCCACCTCTGCAACTGCCAATAGTATTCTTCTGGAACAGCCCAGGGAGATCAGGGTTGGGGACACTGTACTTCAGTAGTTTCACCGTTACCTGCAGGGTGGTTTTCAAAAAGTAGTTATGAGGGCATCATTGTTTGGTGCCATGCAAGTTATCTGAAGGCAGCCCTGCTTAGGAAAGTTTTTTATGTTTGATGTTTTCTTCTGTTTTTAATCTGCTGGGAGCCACCCAGAGTGGGGTGGAGTATAAATAATAATGCTCCATGCAAGCTGACATATTATTAAACAGCTATGCGAAACTGCTCAGTGTTTCGTAGTGAGGTGTCACCAATATGGAGGACACCCAGTTCTGTTTCATCTGAATCAGAAGAGACTGAAATGCTAGAATGGTGCTTGGAGATGGTGTAAAACATACTTCAGTGAATCCACACCTTTAAATTGGCCCTTTTTTCCTAATGCGTTAAAAACAAACAAACCAAAAAACCTTGAAATTAAAGAAGCAATGTTCTCTCTTTCAGAAACTGAAAACATGCCAGCAGCAAGACCTTTCTACAGTAATAAATCAGGTTATCTACTTATTAAGATGCTAGAGATAAAGCAATCCTGAGGTTGGTGCAAAGCACTGGGAGGGTGCAAAATTGTGTAGTTGTGTCAGCAGTACAATACTCCCCCTAGTGGGGAGGAAATCAGACTTTAATATATTACTGTATTTTTATCAGAGAATATGCAGCTCTCTTTTTTGCAGAATTACATATATCCCTTACACGTCCTGTGTTTGGGACCACCGGCCTTGAAAAATGCAGAGATCCCCTTGTGTAGTTTTATTTAATTTAATGTTCATTCGTTTTCAAACGTTTCTATAGTGTGTGTGTTGCTAAATTGTGTGGCTTTTTGAGGTTGACAAACTGGACATTAAAAAGGGTTTGAGGTTTATATTACTGAGCCGGGAGCCTCGGGAAAAAGGCGGGGGGTTGGGTTAGGAATAATTACAAAAGCAACAGTACGAGCGTTCCTGACCATGTGCAGAGGGCACCCACCAGCGCCCCCCTTCCAGGTCCCCGTGAGACGGGCGCAGTCATTCCCCTTCCTCCTCGTCGCCGTCACGCTGCGTCCGGGCAGGTCGCGTCTCCCACGCCTAAGAGCGTGCCCTGCCGGCCGCCGCCGCGCCTTACCCATGTGAGAAGACGCCTCAGCGCTAAGCGCCGCCATCTTATCACGCCGAACGAGCCCTCGAAAGCCCCGCGGCCCGAGCGAGGAGCGCCCCCATTGGCTGGCTGAGCAGAAGAACTCGGGTGGTCACGTGCTACCCCCAACTGCCAACTACTGTGCGTCGTTTTGAGGAGTAACTGCGCGTGCGCCCTCTCGCTCTCTCTCTCTGGCTTCTGTCGCAAGAAAGCAAGTCTCGCGAGATTTGAAAGTCCTTTTTGCAGGCAGTGTTACAGAGTAGGACCATTGCGGTGCTTTTAAAACACTGATGGGCGGCTAGTGTACTGTATTACCCATTTTTTTTACAATTTCCGGAGCAGCTGCCGTAACCTTAAAAGATTAACCGGTTTATTATGGCACAACCTTCCTTGTAGGAGGCTAGGGTTGGGCTTTTCGGTATATAAAGAAAAATCTGCAGCGTCCTTAACAAACGACAGTGCCCAGAATTTGTTGAGGGAAATAATGTATTTCGAACGGATGGTGGCTTTTAGTCCCAGCAGTAACCTGAAACTTGAATAGTCTCCAGACAGCTTAATGACTAACATGTGGACTATGTAGTTCACTTAACCATATGCATGCATCTAAATTTCCATATGGAAATTAATTGGAGTATGCTCTACTATCTCATTCTGTGACTAAATGTATATTCTAACGCCAAGCCAGCTTCTCTCCCTTTCTCCCATGCAGCCTAATAAGAGAACAGAGGAACACTAAAAGTTGCCCCCTGTTTTGTTACATTTCAGTTGGTCTTAACAAATATTGTCTGGCCATGGATTTTGGAGAGTCTTTATTTTTATCCTGCATCTTGCACTTCTTGGCTACGAAGAGAAGGGATGAATCCCATCTTCCAATTCTACAAGTAGTAAAGCATGCCTCATACCAAGCTTTGCACCTCGCATTTCTCAAACTTTTAACATCCTCTGACGAACCAAAGTTTCAAACATATCTGTAGGTCTCTTTAACTGAACAAATTGTCCCATGACCCAGCCAGCAGAGTTGACAAGATCAGAGATGCCTTTTCTGTTTCCATTTGAAAGATACATCTGCCGTGGTTTGAGTAACTCTGTGAACTTGAAAAACAGCAACATAGCAGTAATTAAAAGCATCTGGCAAAGTTTAATTTTTCAGGAGACTTTTTGCCTTCTCAGAAAATGTGTGCAAATTAATAGAATGCTGCTGATATTCTTTTATAAATATATTTTCCCAAGCCTTCCCTCCTCTAGAACTAAAACAGCACTCAAGTTTGATGCTGCAATTCTAAACCCACTTACCCAAGAGTAGGTAAAGGTAAAGGACCCACTCGTCTTGTTTCAGGCCAAGGGAGCCGGCGTTTGTCCGCAGGCAGCTTTTCGGGTCATGTGGCCAGCATGACCAAACTGCTACTGGTGAACATTGGACCGTGACAAATGCCAGAGCGCACTGAAATGCCATTTACCATCCCACTGCAGTGGTACCTATTTATCTACTTGCACTGGCGTGCTTCTAAACTGCTAGGTTGCCAGAAGCTGGGACAGAGCAACATGAGCTCACCCCCGTTGTGTGGATTCGAACCACTGACCTTCCAATCAGCAAGCTCAAGAGGCTCAGTGGTTTAGACCACAGCACCACCCATGTCCCTTTTACCCATGAGTAAGTCCCATGGAACTCAATGAGACTTACGTACTTTGGTGTAGACATGTACCCTATTGTGCTGTGAGACACAAATGCAACACACATTTCTATCCACAGCATAACCTACACATCCTTTGCCCTTCCCATTACTTATACACCCATTGCCAGTTTCTACTCCAGCTTTCCCCAACCTGGTGCCCTCTGGGCTACAGCTTCCATCAGCCCCAGCCAGAACAATTAATGGTGAAGCATGATGGGAGTTGTAGTCCACAACATCTGGACGACAGAAGGTGTGCTTCTGCTCCTCCATGAACCACCTTGTTCCATGAACAAGGAATCAGATTTCTTGGTTCACATGGGTGCTGCCATTAAAAATATCTCCTGGGGTGCAAGTGAGAGCTCAGCTGCCGGTTCAAAACGGCCCCGCCACTTACATTTTTCATTCTTAAAAAACGGGAAGGCTTCTCTGCTTTTACCACCTTTTGTTTGGAAGTCCTCAAGCACCTCTGCATTTAACATTAAAGGGAAGGTCTGGTTTCCACCTTCAGAGGGTCTATGCCAGTGATGGCCAAACTCAGCCTCCAGCTTTTTTGGACTACAACTCCCATCATCTCTAGCTAACAGGACCAGTGGTCAGGGATGATGGGAATTGTAGTCCCAAAACAGCTAGAGGGCCATCACTGGTTTATGCAGCGTTTCCCAAACTTGGAATTTTTGACTACAATTCCCATCATCCCTGATCATTGGCCATGGTAGCTGGGGATGGTGGGAGTTGTAGTCCAAAAAACAATAACATGTCATATGGGGACCTAAGTTTGGGAAAATCCTGGTCCATTGAAAGCGATCGTTAGTACTTTATTTAAGCTGCGCGGCTCGGAGGAGGTGGTGGCTGCTTGCTCCAACGAACTACAGTTCCCAGAATGCAACGAGCCAAGTCGCGCACGCGCTCTCCCCTTGCCCTTTGGCCGGCTTCTTCCCTGCTTACCCTCTGAGTTGTGCAGCTGGGGAGGAGTGTCTCTCGAGTTATTGAAGCAGCATGTCCGCTCCCTTGAGGTTTGACGGGCGGGTGGTGCTGGTGACTGGCGCAGGGGGAGGTAAGCAGCAGCGAGCTCGAGGGCTTTCAAGGTTGCTTCTTAGTTACCTGCCCGGGTGCAGGTAGGAGGGGGCTGCCTGCAGGGTCTGCAGACGTGGGTCCCAGGCTGCTAGGTGTGTGCTGTCAATAGTAGGTTTCTTTGCGAGCTTCTTTTTGGGGGGACGAGACTAAAGCTGTGCCCTCTTACCTGGGAGCAAGTCCCACTGGGATCTGCTTTTGAGTAGTCATGTATTGGGCTGCAATACATGGGATTTGCTTTTGAGTAGGCTGCAAAGATCTTCTATGCATTTAACCTACGTTTCATTTTTGAGTAGACACTTTTGTACTAGAAGATCAATCTAGTTTTTGGCAGTGTCCACGCAGATTCTTCTGGAAAGCTCACGCACACAGTCTTGTTTGTTCCCAGAATTTCTTGTTCAGTGAAACCCTAACCCCTTTTATATGCAGCTTTTTTTTAACCTGTTATGGCTGGCAGGTATTCATAGACCGTTTGTGTTAGAGTGTCAAAGTAGGAATGACAAGACCCAAAATCAAATACTCAGTGATGAAGCTTCCTTTCAGCTACTTACTGCCCAGCCTAACCTGCTTCACAGGACTGTTGAGAGGACAAAAGCAGGGGAGAGCTTAATCACGCTCATCTCTTTTAGTTCCTCGTAGGAAAACATAGGTAACGAAATAAATAACAACCACCAATGGCTTTGCTTATTGCCACATTGGTTTGCAGTGAATTACGCAACTTAATGCTGAATGTGATAATGTAATTGTTACTGACACGGGGACTGCAAAATGAGGCATTCTTGTCCTTTTACCTCCCCACCCTGCAAAACGGCTATTACAAAAATGACAAAAAAAACCAACAACTTTGGAGTAAGTTGTTAAGTTGCAAATCTTTTCGACTTTCTATTCTTACAAAAGGTAGGAAGTGTTCCTAACTTCACTTCAGAATATTGCCTAGATCCCTGAGATTGTGGGTGGGAATACGTGAGTTTCAAAACCTGCCCACTCACAGATTAAACAGTTCCCAAGGAAGATAATAAGCATGCATAACAAGCCAAGCCTGTGTTTTGCAATATGTACTGCCACTAACTTCTTGGAACCATTTAACGTATAGGCGCTCTTAATGCAAAGTATTCTGATTCTAGAGTTAGTACCAGTGTTTTATCCTTTTTTATTAGAACAATAAAATCATCCAGTTGTATAGTTGGAAGGTATCAAGGGTCATCTAGTCTGAGATGCCTTCAGGAATCTTAACTAAATCATATATGATTTCATGACTTTGCTATCATATCTTTTCAGTTATTATTAAAGCCATATATCTGAACAGGCATCTTTTCAGAGTCAATGATTACCAGCTTCTAGTATACATTCCTGTTATTGCTTAAAGCATAAGGGACGATTTGCCTCCTCTATGGGCTAAGTGAGATCCAACTATTCAGCCCCACTACCTTGCCTCAGAGGACATGAGTGGGAAGACTCAGGGAAGACGTGCCTCCTTTACCTCAGATAATAACAAATAATATTTTTGTTATTTGTACCCTGCCTATCTTACTGGGTTGCCCCTGCAACTCTGGTCAGCTTCCAGCATATGTAAAAACATAACAAAACATTAAACATTAAAAGATGACTTCAGTGGTCTCTGATGCTAGGTAGGCAGAGGGTAAAATGCATAGGCTTGCCATACATCAGGGAAATTCCTGACACGTCCTGGTTCTTGGGTGTAAAAATGGCATCGGGGGAATTTTGCCAGGGAGAACCCGGATGTATGGCAACACGATGGGAAAAGCAGCGGGAACAGCTCACTATTTGGGGGGGCAGGTCAACAATTTGGGTTTGTTCCTAAAAATAGCTCAATATTTTTGGGGTCTTCCTAAAAAAAGCTAAACAAGTTTGTGTGTGTCAGGAATTTTACTTTTTGAAATATGGCAATCCTCAAAAGGCAACACCTGAGAAGACCAGGAACGAGGGCAGGAAATGCCACCTAAATGATCCAGGCTCTAATAAGGTACTTTAGTGTTTGTTTTGTGAGCATTTTTTGTAAGGGACTTTGAGAGCTTCTCAGGGCCATAAAGTGCACTGTAAGTATTCTTAATCCACAAAGCATTTTATGAACTGGCAGGTT